GCTTCTCTGGTTGTATCCAACAACACAACTGCAGAAAAAATTTAAGTTTATAGTAATGCGATTCTCTGATTTAAGATGAAGCTATAAGCTATACGTACCCTGGTCGGCATTCGTAAATCTTAAGTGAACCGTAATTATGATAAACAATAATATGCTATAAAATGACATTTTGGAAACAAGTCGAGATCTTTTTTGCGCTTTTATTGCTGCTTGAAGGACTTTTAAAGCGGGTTGAAGTGTGCTAATGATTTCATTTTGTAGAGAAGTCAGATTTTTTTCCGAAGAAGTTTTATTTTTAATATAATGGTCTTTTAATTCGTCGCTGCCAACAGAATGGCAAGTAGGTACCATTTTATGTTTCTGAGTGGTTTTATTTCGAATTTACAACTTCTTTTGCCTCTGTCGCACTATGATGCGGAGTGCCCAATGTTGATGGCATCACAAAATATTTGTTTCAGGTCCAGCTAAACAGGACAAAAAATGAATTTGAATAAATGCACATTCTCTGTTTTAACGAATCTATCACTTCCTATTGCTATATTACTTTAAGGACCTGCTTTCATGCATTATTATGTGTCACTATTCATTGGTATTATATGTATATGAATGCAGGCGTATACATATGGACCTGCATTGATACCGATATACCTGCATTTTTCGCTGCAGCTACATACATATGTACATACACGTTATTATATGTATACAAATTGATTGTGTGTATGTATGCTACAAAGCTAAAAGGACGCTAGTTTCGACTTGAACACTTTTGGTTTTCGCGTAGGTTCGTAGAAGTTATTCAAAACAGTTCTTAAATCAGTGAAATCTCAATTAAAGGTTACTTGAATGTTTGTATCTCAGCCCTTCATTTAATGCACACAAGCAGGGTAGTAAAATTTCAGCCATCCGGGTATTTTTAAATAGCGGTTCGTGGACATTACTCTTTATCCTAAAAAAAAAACTTCAGCGATTTTCGGTTGATAATAGTAAATGACGGAGACAACATCTTCAATGCGATTTTGTATATATATTTTTTCAAAAAAATATAAGTAGTATTCACTCCACTATTTAAATGGTGTTCAGAAAGATTCAGTTAAAATACTAGGTATCGAAGAAAGTGATTGCGGGCACACTGAAATTACAATAAAAAAAATGTACAAAAATGTACGTCAAGGTAGCAACGAGGATTTGACACAGGCTTTGGAACAATAAGTAGTGGAACAAGTGGTCAACAAAACCGTGCCCACACATCCCATAGGAACGCTGGGATGTATTGACAGATATGAAACTTCGAACTTTAATTCAGACCTTTGATTAGTTTTAAATTTCCTCTACAATAATGATTATTCAGTGAGTTATGTTCTGACTGTTCTCACTGATTATTATAAACTTAAGAATAACATTTAATAACAAGTACATTTTTTTCGGAAAACGGCAGTTCGTCGTTGATCGTTGACTGCTCCCGAATTAAGAAACTGTAAAGAGTTGAAGCGACTCATTTTCACAGGCACAGACACACAGGCTGGTGCAAAAACATCTGATCGGCCTTCTAGAAGTTAACACACCTAAAAGAAGAGGAAGATAACCCAAATAAAATTTTCCCGTCAGGAAAATAAATAATAACGCAAAACTAAACTCAATTTGACATATGACAGGAAGCAAACTTCGGCAAGCCGAAGTTTATATACCCTTGCAGATTTTGCAAAAATCAAATATTCTTGAAAATATTAAAATTATGATTTACTTGCAAATATGTTTAAAAACATCGAGGCTATAATGATTTGCAGCTGAATTATTAGATAGTTCCTTTGGCAGCTGTATGATATCGTTTTCCATTTTAAATAAAATTCAAAGCGTAATTCTAAACTGTCAAATAATTAATAAGTCAAAAAGAATTTAAAAAAAATTAAAAATAGAAAAGTTACATTTACAAACAAATTTTTTTAATATGTTTATTGCTCCCATGGGAGTTTTATGTTATAGTCCTCCGATTTTAATGAAATTTAAACCATAATTCTAAAATATTTAACCATTACTATATGTCGAAGAACAAAAAAAACCAAATAAAACTCAGCTTCCTTTCTTGTTTATTTATATTTTGATTGTTCACAGGGGAGCTATATGTTATAGTCGGCCGAGCTGAATAAATTTAAACCGTAATTTTGAAGTATTAAACCATTACTATTTGTCAAAAACTTTCAAAGAAAAATAATAATAAGCTTCAAAGCAATTATTCTTTTTTGTTCCTATGGGAGCTATATGATATAGTCGTCCGATCCGGCTTGTCCTACTTATGTATATACTTCCTGCAATAGGAAGACAATTTTTGGGAAAGGGTTATGCAGATAGCTTTAAAACTAAGAGTTTATTTTGCGTAGAAACGGACGGACGGATAGACGGACAAACGGACCGGCGGACTGACGGACATGGCTTGATCGACTCTCCTAGAGATGCTGATCAAGAATATATATACTGTGTAGGGTCGGAGATGTTTTCTTCACTGCGTTGCAAACTTATGACCGAAATTATAACAACCTCTGCAAGTTGTTGTCCTCTTGTCGGCAAGCAGTATCAAAGCAGGCTGTTAGGGAAGTGTATTAATCTATCAAGCAGTTCTCTGTTGGTCATAGGTATATATTTCTCAAAACAAATGTGATAGATTAAAAAAATATATGGTTAAATAAGAAATTTTTATGTTAAATTTTTTTTTTTTAATTTTTGTTATAGGTATTCATTTTTAAAACTATTTTAACATTTGAACTAATAATTTTCTCCTGTGAAATTACTTTTTTTGATAATTGACCCTACCAAATTGGTATACTGTCGTACGTTTAAAGGAATGTTAGTTCTCTTTACCTTTTTAAAAAAAGAAATTTACGTTTTTTTAAGGCGTTTATTTATTTTTTTTTAACATTTTATTTTTGTATTTTTGAGTGTTAGTAGTTATTCGCTTAAATTCTATTTTTTTATTAAAGTTCAAGAACAGCATGAGCAGGATTCGACGACATATGACTTGTAAATTGAAAAATCCAAAGAACACAGTTATGTACCCTTGCTTATATTGCAATTTTAACTACAAAAGCTCCTATAAGAATTTTTCATAATCAAATGTCCTTGCATAGAGTTTTGCTTATTCAAATAAGCATATAATCTTTATTATAAAGATCTGAAATGGGTTGACATTTTAATCGCTAAACAACTCCCAATCGCGAATTTTAAAAGAACAAGAAAAGAAGCAAGCTTCGTCGAGCCGAAGTTTATATACCCTTGCAGCTATTGCAAAAATTAAATATTTTTGAAAACATTAAAATTTTGATTCATATGCGTATATGTTTGAAAAAATTTAAGCGATGGTGATTTTCAGCTCAATTATTTGATATCTATGAGAGCTATATGATATCGTTTTCCGATTTGAATAAAATTAGAAGATATATACTTTATAGGGTCGGAAATGTCTCCTTCACTGCGTAGTAAACTTCCGACTTAAATTATAATACCCTCTAAATTATAATACCCTTTTCAAAAAATGATAGAACAAAAGTTTTTTGAATCGAGCTGCTTAATAAAGTAAAAACGGTTTCAGGACCCTAAAACATCATTTGATTAAGACAAACAAACAAACAGGAGCACAATGTTTTCATTTACAAATACCGTCCAATTCTTGTATATTGAATATATTTTGAACGGAGTGTCGGATTGAGATGATTGAAATGTTGTTAGACGTGTACTCAAAGTCAGAACACAACCATGCCACAAAAATCAGTCTTTTTGCTCCACCGGCCCCAACAGCTTCAATATTCAAACCATTTCCTTTCGAATGGGTGACCCCAATTCTCCTGAACCACTTTTCTAACAGTCACAGTATGCTCAAACTTTTATAAAAAACCGTTTTCTTATCATTGTTTACGATCGGATTGTATTTTGGGTATTCATAGAAGTCTCCTGCGCACACTTTCCGGTGTTCATCGTCACTACGTGGACGGCCGCCACAGTGATATCACATTATTGTAGTTATAGTGGTCTAGAATTTCTTAAGCCGTTTTGATTGTTTCTCTCTCTGCCGTCAAGCTCAAGCTATTTAATGTGACAAATAATTATAATATCTGATTGGGATTTCGTTTTTGTAGACCTAAGGTATTTAATATGTATAAGACTAGGTCTTTTTAGATTCATCGGTCTCTTTGTGGTTGTTACATTAAAACTAAAATACTTTGTGATTCGTACAATAAAACTCAAATACTAGAAGTACAATTACATTACATTACGTTACAATACCAATACTCATTTTAACATTTACAGATTATTACATTTAATGTTTCGCATTTTCCGTATTTTGTTGGCAACCAGACACTGAGAAGGATCCCTAGTAGCTGGCCTAGTCCGGAATAATCCGATCAGCAGATATCAGATATAGGGATTGACGATATAGACGAACTGTAAGGCTCTACAACCTCTTAAGTCGCCCAATCCGGTACGCACTGTCGAAAAACACCTGCGAACGCCTCTCCCAAATAGAACCGTTTGGATTTAAACCTTTAAAGGTGTGTAGTAGGGGCTTTTGCAAACCCGTTTATCAAAGAAATACATCACGTTCCAATGTAGTAAGCGGAGCAGTGAGCTATCGCAGCCCGCTCCCCTGGCCACAGTGCGCATGATCCGACCTTAGGGGTGGGGACTGTGGTGCAGTATGTGCCTGTGGCAACCCTTAGCGCGGTGGTGGTGCGTTGTGGCCGTTCACTTCCCTGCGGTTCAGTTCCGTTCTGTTTGGTTTGGTTCCGTTCAGTTCGAATTGGGTATAATTCGCGTGAGGCTGAGACTCACAAAGCGCGGCGGTCACATAACAAACTTTCTGAAAAACCACCCACATGTGTGTACACACGTACATGCGTAGAGAATTTTCTAGCCGAAGGTTTCGCTTGTGAAAACAAACGAGGCGTTGTGACCGAGTCTCTAGCTCTCCATCAGAAAGCTGCCTTATTGGGGAAAGTGTATCCTGGCTAGTGAGGCTTCATTTGATATTAGATTCATTGGAACATTCCAGTCAGGAAGGATATCTACTGAGTGATTTGTGTAACAGTGCTATGCATAAATTCGACTCGAGATGCAGAAAGTGGGACGAAGACGCCTCTGCGAAGATGTAGCTTAGGCCATTCAGATCCTAGGTAAATGTAAATACGTTTCAAAATCATGCCTTAGCTGGCTAGCAAGCGAAGCGAGCCACCGTTTAAGCCAATTTGCTCACATGTAAAAGTGAGGAAAATATTAGAAAAGTGCAAGCAACCCCTACCCTTTGTCCCTGCGTGTGTGTGCCAGAATACACTCACATATGTACGTGTATCTGTGTTTGTGTATTAATGAAGCAACCCTTAAGGTCGGCGACGATGGCAACGACAAAAAAGTTCTGTGCAACTAATAACAAAAAATAAACTAAGACGTAGTCTACTTCTAACCGCCGATAACTAATATCTAAGCCAATCCCTTATTATAAATCAAACTATTGTTATTATCTTAAGTATATTTGTAATGGTTTGCGGTGTTAAATGTGTAGTTTCCCTAGTTTTTAGCTGCAGGACCCCTAGTTGTACGGCGAGATATCTAAACTAAGTTACATAAAAACAATACCTGGCCTAAAGTGCACTAAACGGTTTCTGTTTTCACCACTCCCTTGCAGATGCATTCGAATGGTAACGCAACGCAAGCCACATCCATAAGGAATGGAGTCCATAAATGAGATAATTGACCATCAGACATTCAGCCAGGAGCTAGTGGAAGATGCAGCCGAGTTCATCACTGTGGCTCACCATTCGGAGCGCCACCATCAGGAGGAAGGACCTGAGAGCGGCGAGGATCTAGCCATGTCCATGCAAACGATGATTGCCTGCTCCAGGAGCGAAGCGGGTGCGGGTGCGGGTGCGGGAGGGGAGAAGAAGAACCGCACCTTGTCCGGATCTGGGCCCGGATCGGGCTCCGACTCGGTCGTCATGGTGATCGATGCCATGGGCCACAGCAGTAGGCAGGCCTCGTATCAAATTGTGCCTCAGCAGCTCCAGCTGCAGCCCAGAACAATGCCTTTGCCCTTTGGGCTCCTCCAGCAGGAGCGGCACCAGCATCAGCATCAGCATCAGCATCAGCACCAGCACCAGCACCAGGAGTGCCAGGGTCGCTTGGGCAACAGCAGCCCGGTGGACTTTGGGGCGTCCGACATCAGCTTGGATGGTCTGACAGTGGACTCGACGGCCCAGGCGGTTCTCCCCCAGGGAATGGCCATTAAGCAGGAGCAGAAGCTCCAAGCCAACAAGCGCATCCGGATGCACGTGGACGTGGCGAGCGTGAATGCAGGACTCGAAGTGGACGTCGACGAGATGGACGAGATTTCCTCCGACGGCGTCGGGTGTGACGACGAGGGGGTCACCCTCAATCAGCACCACCAGCAGCTCCTGGAGCAGCAGCAGCAGCAGCAGCAGCAGCACTACGGCCTGACCAGCCATCATCCGCATCACCAGGCTCACGCTCAGGCGCTCCATGGCCTGCACCACAGATCAGCCCAGCTGGAAATGGGCTTGGGAGGACTGCACGGCGAGGTCCTCTCGGTGATCGTTCACTCGCAGGACAGCGACAAGGATCTGGATGGCGAGGGAGACGCGGATGGGGACGGGGACGGGGACGGGGATGGGGACGGGGATGGGGATGGGGAGGGGGAGGGGGAAGTGGAGGGAGAAATGGATGCAGAGGACGAGGACGACGACGATCGGGACTCGCGCAGTCGAGGGCAGCTGCTCAGCCACAGCTCGTACCAGACGCTGACCTCGGTGAACGACCGACTATCCCCGCCCGGCTTTAGCCAGACATCGTACGCCACGCTGACCCCCATCCAGCCCCTTCCGCCCATATCAACGATGTCCGAGAAGTTCGCCTACTCCGGCCACATTTCCGGAGGGGACAGCGGCGACACGGACGTCAACGGAGCGGAGGGAGGAGGCGGAGTATCCGAAGGCGGCGAGGTCACCAATCAGTCCGCCGAGGCCGTGGGCACTGAACCGGGCTCTGGTGGCAACGGGGCCTCCTCTGGGTGCAGCAACAACGACTGCAGTTCTTTCTCTGCCCTCACCATGCCCATGGCGAGTGGCCACTTGGGCCTCGGCGTGCTGGGCGGCGTGCAATCGCCCTACTCCCCCTACGAAAAGCTGACCGCGATGATTTCACCTCCGCCCAACAACTACCTGGTCTCGTGCGATCTGCACGCCTCGGTGTCGGGACGCGTTCCAAGCTCAACCCAACTGCAGATCAGTCACAACGGCCACAAAAAGGACACTCCAACTGCCCACGGACAAGCCCACGGACACTCCGATGTCAACGGAGGGAAGTTCGCCTACTCCGGCCACATCTCCGGGGGCGACAGCGGCGACACTGACGTGAACGGAGAGAAGTTCTCCTACTCCGACCACATCTCCGGGGGCGACAGCGGCGACGCAGATGTCAATGCTGAGAAATTCGTCTATGCTGACCACATCTCTGGAGGCGACAGCGGCACGGATGTCAACGGAGGAACGTATGTATTGAATAAAACAGTCTATAATGATTCCGGACATAAAATGGGTTCAATAGACACTTTTTATGTCGTGACTTGGATTGGTTTGTCCAAACCTTGAAATTTAAAAATATTATGGTTTAAACAACTTTCACTCCGGGACAATTTTTAATAAGGAAAAAACATTTTGTAGGTATTATTTGTTAAAAAAACACCTCTTAACGCGGTTAATTCGTGACGATCGGGCCTTTCACATACAAAATGTCTGATATCTAATTTTGTCACAAACAATAAATAAGCGACTAAAAAATGCACAACTTTTAAAGTAATTCAGAAAAAAATGTCAAAGAAAAATAATTATAAATAGGACGGTGACTGTGAATCTTAACTCGTGACCGGAATATCGGAATCAAAAAAATTGATATGCATTTTGAAGCTAATGTATTGTTCGAGGTAATCAGGAACAGATTTTTTTCTAGCTTTTTGAGCACTTTGAAATGAACAACGAGATTTAAGCACTAACCATACAACAACATGTTGTATGGTTAGTGATTTAAGATACAAAATCTCGTTAATTTGTTGAAACAAATAGAAAAAAAAATGTTAAACTCCTCCTGATTACCTGTTGATTTATGTGAAAAAGTAAAGTAAAATATTTTTCAAAACGAGTGGTTCAGTAGATTTTGAGTTATTATGTGCACTTACTGCAAAAAGGTCGTTTTCGGAAAATTTGATTTTATGCACTACTCCCCTTAAATGTTTCCATTCCTAAACAAATGCTTATTCGAATGCTTATTCGATATAAATAAAAATTAACGAGAAAGTTGTCTGGCTTGCTCTAAAACGTTCAAATTTTCTTAATTTCGTTGTTTTAAGACATTTGCTTACATCTTGCTCACTTTTTTCCAAAGTATCTGATTTCATATAAGTTTGCTTAAACTAAGAAAAGTTTGATAAAAAAGAATAAATATTGCATAAATATTTAGTGAACATTTTTTTGTTCCTAACTTGAAACTATTTTTATTATCTTTTTTTTTACCAAATTGCATGCTTTTAGGATGAATCTCTTGCCCGCGCAGCGTTCTGTTCTGAACTGAGAAATGTTGAGGTTTTTTTTCTTAATAACTTTCGAAAACGTTCTTTCAGAAACAGGTGATATATATCAAAAGTTGAGGAATCTCAAGGGCAAAAAATAATTAATGGTAAACGGTTGTATTTAGACCAATTATGTTAAGAAAGTGTGATTAGCATTTGTCAATACCTTTTAAATTATCTGTTGGTTTACCCTCAATTTTAGAAATTCGACATACAACTTTTTTCGTTCTAATTACAGGGAAATATTTAAATAAATAAATAAATGTTTAAGTAAAATTGGGACTTGTTTTCAGAAACATTATTCTAAATAACACGAAGGCTTACCCTAAAAACTAACTAACTCTAAAACCTAGATATTTTTTTTTATATAGAATTTTTTTTCTAAAAATTCTTAGCCTAACTCTAAAATTAAATAATTAAAACCATTTACAAAATTGTCGAACCCAACCCTATAATGAAACTAGCCCTAACAAGACAGCCAAAAAGTTCAAACTAACTATTCCTCCTACAAAGCAATCGAAGTTTGGGTGGCGCCATCTGTCGAACTCCATAGACAACACTAGAAGCGACAGTTCTTTCGTTGTTAAGGGCTTAATCTAGGACCTTCGAATATTTTTTGATATGTTGGGCCGGTAAAAAAAACCTAAAACAATTGTATACGACTTTTCGAAAAACTAGGTAGTGAGCTGGAAAAAAGCTAGAAGATGCTGAACTTTCTATACCAACAGCTATTAAACCAGTAAAGCTACAGACAAGTGCTTTTATGGTTGGTCTAAAAACCATAGTTTTGAAATTATTACAAAAACTTTTAATTTTAATAAGTTTATAAACTTTTTTACAAATTTTTCAAAAACGGGCGTGCAAATTTGTCTTTAATTTTTTATAAATATGAGCTAAACTTTTGCAAGCCAATTTGCAGTTCGACAGATGGCGCCACCTTAACTTCGATTTTTTGTAGGAAAATATATTGAATATTTGGGGTGGAAAACTCCACTATAGCGTTCTTTCTTGTTTTATATGTAAGACATGTTACCTTAATAATTGGTTTATATTACGTTTTCTCACTAACTTTAACTTTAACAGTAGTAACAACAAACAGTTAAAAAAAACTTTTTATCAAACAATTTATTTCAATTTATTTGATCTACTTTTTAAATTGGCACCCTGCTTTGAAATTGTTTGGTAAGAAGGCTCGATTTTAATGTGCCGACTACGAAACTAATTATAAAAAATTGTGTTAAAATAATAACAGTCGTCCCAAATTTGATACTTTAAATTTGTTTGAGTTGAAGGCCGATCGTCTGATTTTGTTTGATGATAATAAAGTGCGATTAGGTCCACAGGAAAACAATATGCAATTTAGCTGGGTTAACCCTACAACATCAAATGTCTTCTTTAAGGAACTGGCTTCAAATGCACCCCGACCGGGAGGTTCGACTCCACATGCCGGCCGAGCTGGAGACGAGGTTCCACATGCCGCCGGAGCGCAGGGCGCGGCATGGCGGTGGGCACCTGAACCGCAGCCTGCCCCAGAGCGCCGCTCCCAGCGGCCCCCCGGACTGGAAGCCGGACGACTGGAAGCACGGGAATGGAACCATCGTCAGTCTGTCCGCTGACCTGCCCGTGGTTGTGTCCCTCACCCCGACACCGCCCCCCATAGCAGACGACTTGGCGGGGGCCGGACTCAAGTTGGGTGACCGCTTGTCCCCGGGTCAAAGGCCACAGTACTTCCTGGACAAGGGCCAGGAGCCCAGCGGTGTGCCTGCAGAGCAGTGCAGCCCCATCCTCCACGGCTCTGCGCTCTCGGTCTGCTCCCTTCACCAGCAGCCCCAGCAGCCCCAGCAGCCCCAGGCAGCCCAGTTGAACGGCTTCCAGGGGGCCAGCCAGCACACCAAGACCTTGGCCTGCGCCTCGCCCAAGGCGGCGGGTGCAGCTGCAGGGGGCGGATCGGGCCGCGGCGGAAGCACCGGCGACATGGAGGAGATCAACACGAAGGACTTGGCCCAGCGCATCTCGGCCGAGCTGAAGCGGTACAGCATCCCGCAGGCGATCTTCGCGCAGCGGGTGCTCTGCCGCTCACAGGGCACCTTGTCCGACCTGCTGCGCAACCCGAAGCCGTGGTCCAAGCTCAAGTCCGGCCGCGAGACGTTCCGCAGGATGTACAAGTGGCTCCAGGAGCCCGAGTTCCAGCGCATGTCTGCCCTGCGGATGGCAGCTGCCCAAATTCCCCAGCGCGCGCCCTTGGGAGCTGGAACGCCGCTGGTGTCAGCAGCAGGGTCAAACAGCTCTTCGGCGACCATGCCGACGGACTTGGACCTAAACGTCGGGCCTACGATGACCCCCAACGGTAAGTTTTCCCCTGTAACTAAATTTTATACCCGTTACTCGTAGAATTGTACTCGTACAATTCTCACTCGTTGTATTGTATTCGTTGAAAAGAAAGTAACAGGTGGAAGCTAACTTTTGCGATCCTGAACCTAGCCACGTTTGCCTGTCTGTCCGTATGAACGCCGAGATCTCGGAAACTATGTACATATGTATGTATAACAGACAGAGATTCGGTGTTTAACACGCAGCGCAAGTTAAGTTAAGGACCGCTTTTAGTGTTTTACATCTATTAGTTTTTAATTTTATACCAAAGGCGAACAGTGTTTGTGGGTCCGATTATCTATTTCTGCAGCAAATTGTAATTTGAATAAGTAGCTAAAAAGGCTGTCGTAATTATCAAACATTTTCTCGCTCTTGAACATATGTAGTTGGTGTCAAAAAGATCAGCAAAAGTCTAGTTTTGCAGATATGGTTTTTGTCTAAATATTGCCATTCCATGACACATAGGAACATAAATGGAAGATCATTTACATATGTTTACTGAGGAGATCTGGTCCTTGCGGAACTCGTCTAGTAACCGGCTTCTATTAGCTAAAAATCTATTAAACTAATTTGTTTTCTTAACCAGATTTTATCAAATTTTGTTTGATGGTATATGACATACCAGTTTATTTCTTTATGAGAAGCTTTTTTTTGATACAGCCTTAGAAGAGGAAAGGAAACAAATTATATAATTGTTAGTCCTGCACTTGAAGAAAACAAGAAATCTGCTTATCAGTTCATCCTCAATACGCTTTACTGGACCAATCGAACTAACAATATTTTATGGTTCTTCTTTTATTTCATTTAACAATGTTCTGGAACGATCGTTCGCCGGCCGAATCACAACTGGCACAACCTCAGCTCCGCCCAATGAATCTGTCTCCTCGTCTGCAACTACACCTGTCATTAACGTTTCCGCCACCAACGTCGTTAATTGTCGTCGGAAGGAAGAGCCTCAGATCGAACAGATGCCTCAGCCAAAAAAGCCTCGATTGGTCTTCACCGATCTCCAGCGACGAACTCTACAAGCCATTTTCAAAGTATGTATTAATATGAGTGCTCCAAAAATGTGCTTAAATTGGCGATTCACTTTAGGGGGTTGGGTTTCAAAGGCCAAAAAAAGTTTTTTGTGTGGATTTTTTTTAGTATATGCTCTGCCAATATCGTAGGGTAATTTAATAGAAGAACATGCGTTTGAAAGATAATAATAATCCATTGCTATATGTGTTTTTTGTGACTGCTCAACTGTTTTTAAAGCCCAGCTTTAATACTCCATAAAATCAATGTTTGTCATTTTCTAATTAAATCTTAACTTAGTTAATTAGGCTGTTTTTTAGCCTAATGCAAATAGTTGCCCCATAACTTTGTGCTTTGAAGAACTTGCTGTAGTCACACAGTCCCATGATTGGTTGATAGAGTTGATTTGCCACTTCCATTCTTTTTCCAGAATTGCTTTTTTCTAACAGCCATTGAAATGGGACTTCATTTCTATAAATTTAGCATTAAGACAATTTTTAAAGGGATTCGTGTTTGTGTATTACTTTTTAGGAGACCAAGAGACCTTCGAAGGAGATGCAGGTGACGATTGCGCGGCAGTTGGGTCTTGAGCCCACTACCGTGGGCAACTTCTTCATGAACGCCCGCAGGAGGTCGATGGACAAGTGGCGGGACGACGACTCCAAGAACGCGATGCACCTAATGCACAACCGCCAGCAACAACAGGACGAGCAGGAGGATGACGAGATCCACGTCCAGAGTCAGAACCAAAGCCAGAGTCACAGTAACAGTCACAATCACAGCCACAATCACAATCACAGCAACAGTCACAATCACAGTCAGGCCACGAGCAATAGTTTAACGCACGAAAACTACTCGAGTCTGCACACAACAGCCATGTCGCCCCTCGGAGCCTTCGACGAAGAGACCGACATGGACCTGGAGCTGGAAAGCCACGACTTTGACTTGGTGGACCCCGACGACCATGGGGACACCAATGACCCGACCGGGGAAATGTTGTGACAGCATAGCCGAAACGGACGTCGCCAGTGCAACAAGCCCGATCTGCTGAAAACATGCCCCAGTACTCGCCACTTCAACCGCAACAGCAACCGCAACAGCAACCGCAACAGCAACCGCAACAGCAACAGCAACCGCACTCGCACTCAGTCTCGCACGGTACACACGATCCCTTCGAGGAGGACGATGGAGGTCAGTATTCGTCGCATTTTGAGGAGGAGCGACGCAGACTGTAATTGTAATGGCAGTAATAGCGCGGAGAGCTCCCCGCATCAAGATGACCGGGATGAAGTAGCGTCGGACCATTTGCTTGGGGACGAACAGCTTTCAGACGGGAAGGGCCAACGGAAGCAAAGCCTCTGCTCAGACATACACGAGCAGCAGGAGCCTGGTGTCTTCATCGATGACATGGGCATCTCCAACTGCTTGGACGACTTGAAGGTGATGATAGTTTGCTGAGCACAGAAGGGTTAGCTATTTGCCGCGACCAAAAGGTCGAACAAACATTTTGGCCTATGTTTTTTATAGGAGAGCCCCAGTTCAAAATAGGTTTTGTTGATTTAGATTTAGATTATTCATCTTTAAGTTCATTACCAACCTGCAAAAGTGATTTTATTCTTAATTTTTAAAAACTAATTGTCACCGCTTTCAAAGCCCTCGCATTAATTAGAATTATGATTGAAACTGGTTCACGGCGTCTGAAAACTCAACTCTGTCCGATTCCAACTGAAGTGACTGAGACTCACCAGCCTGAGTGATTATTGAGTGATTTCCAATAGTCTGTGAAAACCACTTGCCTAGGACGTTTTTGTGTTTTGTCACTCAATCACTCAATCACTCAATCAATAAAAATAGACCCACAGGCTAAGAGCTCTGTTCTCGGGGACAGAAACATTGTAAATGTTTTTACCAAGTACTAGTTGAGTAAAGTGCTGCTCAGATAGTTAAGGCTACGTGACTTTTATAATATTAAAACGTTTTCGGGCGGAATAACGTAGCAATTTCCATCGTTTCCAGTATACAAATTACGCAAATCGATTTGTATTCAAAGGCAGCATTTTAAAAAAATGTACGATTTATATATTCATTATTTTATTCTTTTCGGCAAAATATTCAAGAGTTCATATTTTAGGTAGTTCGATTGTGTTTTAAAAAAACAATACGCACCTTGGCTTTTGTCTTACATAAGCTTTCATAATTGATCTCAAATATTTTTACCCTTGCTAAGGGTGCTTTAAATTTTTGCATTTTCTTGACCAGTATCACTGGACAAGTCAAGTGATATGGACATGGAGCTAAAGATAAAGATATAAAGATTCTTCTTTACCAATCTAATATGGATACTTTTCACGAATCAAAGTCGATGCCTTGAATTTTGTCCTTATGTCTGGACATCGATAATAAATAGCTCCATTGCATTCATTTAAAAATATAATTATTTATTTGGCTAATAATATAAGCCTCGGTTTCTTAAGCTGTAGACAGTCAAAAGCAGTCTTGTAAGCATTTTATATGGACATTGTGGCTTTGAAACGCTTTCAACTTAGATGATTACACTAACTTATTTGTTTTTTTGTTGTCTACAAGAGTTTAGCTTCCTTATTTATATTTATTATATTTATCTTCCTTATTTATATAAAAACGTTTGCTAGAGTAGCACCTAGATGAATTTTCCTCTGATAAGTTGATGACAGCTGATTTAATGAAACCGTTCCAAATATTTTTCATTGAATTCAATTGTCACACGATCACATTTATCGCATGACTTTTAGTTATTCATTACGAAAATGCAGTAAGAGTATGAATCTAAAGGGCACTCGTCTCAAAAGTGTAATAGTGTAGGCAGTTCTTAAACGATTTCAATTTGCAAACATTTTCATATATAAAGTTGACCTCCTGTTTTGTTTAGCATAACCTCACTGGCAGTTAATGGCAATTGGCCTTAGGCAAATGGACAAGGGTGTTTGGAAAGAAGAAATGTGTATGTATGTAGATATATTAGTTTGAATAAAATTAAAGAAATGTAAATGGAGAGTCCCAATTAAAGAAAAAAAACATATATAACAATGTCAAAATAACTGTATCTAGTCAAATTAATAATATAAAAAGAAATCAACTTAAACAGTTTATGCAAATATTATATTTAACCTAAAATTATTAATTTCACTAAAACACTCTAGCATAATCATTCACATTTATAAAGGTAATAATGTACCTTCGTATTTACGTTTTTTTAATACTAATACGGGCCAAATATTGATTTTAAATGTGAAATGTGAAAATGTCAGACCTGACAGACTAAAAATCGTGAATAACAAAGAGTTTACAAATCGGGTTTTAACATAAGAAACTGTAAATAAATGAAATATTCAACAAACCCTTCCAGTTAAGTTTGAATGCAGATATTCCATAAAAACCGCTTACTTCATGGAAGAAAACCACAAAGAACTATGTATGATTCATTATTAAACGATACCAAATGCTTAACAATACTCAAATGTCAATATAGCAGGCATTATGTTAATATCTGTAGGATATATTACGCAATTTCGCAATAGGAATACGACCCTCGATGTATGCTAGTCAATTTAGTTTAAATACAATTTAGCAACCTACGCGAATGAAGGGTGGGCATGTTTAGGCACATTCATATTTTAAGTATTTATGTAAAAATCAAGCAATGCAATAATAAATTAAAGGCAAACTTAACTTGTAAGTACCTCTTTATGTATATATGGGGCTAAAGTGGCTATACAGCTCAAGATTATAATTTTGTTCGACATTATTACCCTTTACTAGTTGAGTACTCGTATTGTACTCTTTTCGAGGAGTATTTTAGGAGACGAAGGAAGCCTTTTTGACCTGTGACCTATAAACCAGTGGTTCTCACTCGTGTGCTCAATAAGTGCATTTGTTCTTGTAATAGGAATATTTTATTTTATTATCTAAAAATTGTATTATGTGCAAAGTGAGGGCGAGATGAAAACTCTTTCGTCAAGGGGCTCTGAAATATACAAAATTCGAATTTAGCTGAAATTACTGTAATTTCTTCACCGCAACAAACCTACATATTTTTTAGCTTCAGGCTCACCGCTTTTTAAATTCATACTCCATTCAAAATCAAAATTATCATCCACTTGGCAAACAATTTAGAGTTAGCCAATTTGAGCTTATCATCTTACAAATAGAGTTTCTCGACAAGTGGTTAAAAGTTGTTTAAAGTAATTTAAACAATTATTTGACGTTTAAAATGGTTCTAGCGATCGACTCACTTTGTCAGTCTAATTAAATTCAGTTATTTAGCAATCACAACCAAATTAGTCAGTCTACTTTCACATCGATTTATATGGACATCGTGCTGAAAACTGTTACAAAAAAACTAATTTGAAAAAACTTAAAATTTAAATTTAATCAATTTAACACCTGTCGGAATTCAATAACATTGAAGATTGGTTTTCTGTGAACGGAACGCGCTATATAAGTTGTTTTAAAAATTTTAAATTTGTGTGTTGGCCAACAAAAGGCAGTTTTGAGCTAAAATATGTTTATATTCTTGACTGGTGTTGGTGATGTTTGCTGAAAAGTTTCGTTACTAAACCCGTTTTCATTCTTACAAAAATTGTATTTGCACATTGTGTAGACAAATTTATAAAACAATACTTTTATTTAAAAACTTGTAAAATAATAGATTATAGATTATTGGATTCCTGACTGTCTGCACAATATATTGATCGCTTGATTATAACCTTCTTAGTCGCAACTACCTTTTTCCATATTTTATCGTACCTGGAGAAGTGCTGATCAAGCGGAAGATATGACAATCAGCAATATCTGGGTAGTACAATATGAGTTTCCAAGTGCAGGTGGGCCAAAAGAAGTTATCCGATGATGCCAATTTCCTTTTCTTTTTTGGTTATGTTTGTTTGAACCCTTGGAATTTCTTTGACAAAGTAAAGATGATGATGATTGATTGCCATACGGACTCGTTTTATGACATTTTTCATCACTTCGCCAAGAACTTCAGAAGACAGACTCTTTCGCTCGTGTCGAAAGTTGTCCTTTAGGGCTTCTGGAGTCTTGGGTTTGTTCATGTAGACAGGGGACTTTAAGAAACCGAACAAAGACACGTCTGGAACGGCTTAATAGGGCGATCTGGCGGGACAGTGCAAGTCGCCACAACGAGAGGTATTACGATTTTGGTCCACTTCGTGGTGATGGCGATTATTCCACGTGCTTGGGGAGCACATCGCTCCATTGCTTGTTCCACATTACATTAAACCGAAGAGTAGGAAGAGTAAAAAATATTGACCAGATTTATGCTTTTGTGTGTTGTGGGCCCCAGCTTTAAAACAATATGTGTTAACAACACATAGTAACGATTTATTTTAGTTTTTACATTTCTCGTGTGTGCATTTTACTAGTGAGAAAACATTTTAATATTACCTGAAAATTGTTGTAACCTTAAAACTTGAACAATACACAAGACTTTTATATACTTTAGGTTGGGCAAGGTACTTTAGGTAAGTAATTAGTTAGAGTTCAAGCTTAAGCCTTATTTAAAATGCCCGCTCTCTCACTTGCTCCGATAGGGCTTAGATTGTAGTAACTTAAACTGTTGTTAACTTTTCTGTGCATTTAAAATGCAATGTTCTAGAATTCGAAAACCAAAATAGTCTATCTATAATAACGAGCGATAAAATCACGATCCTGATATTGCACTTTGACCCCATGTCCCGACGTTTAAAAGAACCCTCGATGTCACCATCCCCGCCACAGAGCCTACATCCATCAAAACATGTCCTCGTTCTCACTTCAAACAGATGATGTCGCATTTTGTCCGCTATCGATCGTTAGGCTGGATGCCCGCATACTCAGCGAGGCCAGCGACAAGTTGCTGTGGTACATGACTTTGGGGGACAACAAGGTGCTGTTTTCGGTGTCCCCTGCTGGTTTGTTGACGTGGCAGAACGCCACCGAAGGGAGTAGGATGTCGGAGTTCATCCCTAGGAGACCGTCAACCGACAGGGCATTGGCATTTAGGGTGACCGTCACGGCGCTGCCTCCGTCGGTACTCTCGCTCTCAGCAGGTGCGTTGCCGCAGAGATGTATGCGGGAGCTCACCAACTTGTTGCAGGCGGGGCATGATCGTGGTGTGTTTTTGTCCCGACGTCTCAATATTTCGTAGGCACATCTGCGAAACGCCACATAAAAGAATAAGAGCAAAAATCAAATTGAAACAATTTAATGTGTAAATTAGTTTACTTGTTGATCATTTTTTTGTGCTTTAGTTTTAAGGGCTAGCATTGTTTTTAGATGTCTGCAACAACGGAAAAAACAAAGTTACCTGAAGAACTCTACACTATCATAAACTTGTATATAAATATATTTATTTTATACCCTATACGAGCAAAAACAGTATATTGTTATCGCTGAAAATCATGTAACAGGTAGAAGGAAGCGTTTCCTTTGGTAAAGAGCCAGATGCCCGGGAGCTCGGATGGAAGGTTCTTTTGCAACGACCTCGCACCAAGTGCATTATGAAATTGGCTTCTCGTTGGGAACTAGTCATCGAACAAAACGGCGCATATTTAACTTAAATTTTTTTTTTAACACCCTTATATATTATTGGTCAGAATCATTAGCCAAGTCGATCTAGCCATGTCCATCTAGTCTGTCCGTCCGCATCAACGTCGATATATAGATTCCACGAATTCTTACGCAACGCAAGTTTATTACAAAACGGAGCCACGCACACTCTAACGACCTTAGTTATTACGCTCTGTGTAGTTAGAGACACAAATTTTTCAAAAAAGTTATTGGCAAACATGTTTTGTTATGACGTCACTGTACAATTGCAAAACGGAGTTTGTGAAGGAAGAGCAGCGGATGGCACACATTTTGAGAATGCTCGCACTTAATTTGTGTGAGTAATTTGCAAGGGAAAACCTTTCAATGTGTGTGTGCCGACAGAGGTTTTATACTGTTCGCGTGTGCTCTGCCGCTGCTTTACCTAAGATAGTGTCGCTGTAGCGGGGGTAAGGTGCTGCTCGCTCTTTACTGGTAGTGTGGCTTATGGCGCCAGCTGTAACCCTATTTTATTTTATGAATAACTCGTTAATATTAAAGTCGGTTTAAAGAGTATATACAATTTTGAAAGCTTTAGCGTAAGGGCTCGATCTATTTTGGGCAGCTTTCGAGTATCGAAAAAAATCACATAGCATTATACATTAAACTTTTCCAGAACCAACTGTTTGTTTTAAAATACTTGACTTAAATGAAAAGAAGTAATAACTTTTAACTACTAACAACACAATTTTTTTTTTTTTTGCTATGACGGTTGTTTTCTTTGTTGAATCTTCTCTCTAAGACTCCCTACTCCCTACTAACGACAAGTAATAAAATCTTAAATCTATAAATTTAGTTGAATCCCATAAAAAGTGTCATTTGGTTGATGAGTGGCCTCATTTGTGTTCTAGTTTCGCAGAGAGGCTTCGCTTATAGTTGGGCAATTTCTTCTTTTTTTAATGGGTAAAATATAGCAGCAGACAAACTTTTTTAACGAAATCTTAATATGGGCTTACCTTGCATGGAGAATGTGCGCACAAGGCAGAGCCTCCAAGTTTTCCGGCCGAAGGCCAAACAACTCGCCACACGCGCCACAATTCAGGCCCAGCGCAGCGTCCGTCTGATTGGCCAAACGAAAATGTGTGTTGTACTGATCCTCGTCGCCCAAAGCGCGGTAGATGAGTGCCAGTCGACAACGAATCTTGCGGACCAGAAACTGAAATGCACAAACACCGCATAAGTTTGAAACACAGTACAGGGAGCATTTCCGACTCTACAAAGTATATATATTCTTGATAAGCATCACCAGTTTATTCGACTTTGCCATGTCCGTCCGTCGGTCTCTCCGTTTCAAATCTATCTCCATCATACTGTTCCAAATGTTGACTTTAAGCCGGAACGATACGGATCGGATGACTATATCTATATATATATATATACATATATATATAAATAAAAGAGGAACTGCTTCGCTGTTTTTTTTTTGGTTTATTACAGCAATGGTTTGTTACAGAATTCCGATTTTATTTTTTTTTAGAATCGAACGACAACATCATTTAGCTTCCATAAGAAAAATATACCGAAATAACTTCTCGGGTTTTCAATTGATTTAAGCATGCTTCGATATAAAGAAAGTTTAAAATTACGGTTTTGATTTTAACAACGATGTGCCATAGAAACAATCATATAATTCGAGGGAAAATCGTAATAGCTTCATTGCTTTATAGGCATACAAATTAGAATAAAGCTGTTATAAATATTTTTTACATTTTGCAATCACTGCTAGGGTATATAATCTTCAGCATGCCGAAGTTATCTTTTTTTCTTGTTTTTTTTCATAGTGTGTGCATATTTTTTTTCGAATACCCAAATGAGTCTCTTCACTAAAAGTAAATTAATCTATTATACCACATAATCTTGAATTTTGGAGCATTAAAGTTTTACAGTAAGTAAATTAAAAACAAGAAAGAACGCTTTAGTGGAGTTCCCCGACTACTAGGTTACTCAGCCAACAAACTTCAAAATAAATGTTCCCCCACAAAACAATCGAACTACATAACCAACACTAGAAGCTTACAGTTCATTCGTTGTGTTTCTCTACATCAGCGATCACCGGCAGAGCAGCGGCCGAGTAACGGCCGAACAGCGGCAAAGCAGCGGCAGACAGACAGACGGACATGGCTAGATCGACTCGGCTATTGATCCTGATCAAGAACATATGTACTTTACAGGGTCGGAAACACTTCCTTCTACGTGTAACATACTTTTCAACGATCACAATATACCCTTTTACTCTTCGAGTAACGGGTGCAAATACATGAAAATCTCTCACTCTTACCTTGGCCCCGATGGAGCTTGCAACTTCCAGAAGTCGTGTGTTGAATTCCAGTGGTCTGCAGTTGCAGATCTTGTTTTGAAGACGCAGTGTTTCCAGGCAACGGGCCGCTCCGTCCATTGCCTCCATTTGAGCCATACGATCCCCTAAGCTTGCTGACGTACCCATTGCCTGTTCGTATTGCCGGAATGCCCGCTGAAATAATTTGTTGTTAATTATGAGTTGAAAGTGTTCTAAAATAGAGAAGTATAAAAGATCCTCTGAACGAGATAAGAATGTATTCCAAATATATAGCCAATAGTGTTCTTAAGCCATTCGTTTCGTTTCCACTATTTGTTTGAGTTGTATTAGGAAAACATTCCGTCAGTAGATTTCGACCCACCCTAATGGTGTAATCAGTGTTGGGAAAGGTACTAGTTTTTCGGAACCAAAATTGTTATCATTTTGTGGTCAATGATATCTTGGCAATTGAGAAAATTAAGAAACATAATTATATATTGAAATTAACTTATATTTAAGTTGCAGTTTAACTATGCTATTTTTTACTAGCATATTGGCGTGGTATTAAGCCAATTTGAAACCAAAAATAAATAAAAATATTTCAGTACCTAAATACCTGACATAGCATATTCTTAATTTAAATTTAAAAATCAATAAATGTTAAATAAAAGTAGTTTGCCTAGGTAAGATTTACATGATTGCGTTAATCGCCTTTCAATAGTGTACGGGCTGGTCAAAGGAAGATCCGAAATAATTTCAATCCCACAAATAGGCCAAAAAACAATAACGCATAATTTTGAAAAACAATCAGTACTACAAAATAACGATCTTTACTAAACGAACGAAATTATGGACTCATTGAGTCGTTAAGCTATTGTTGCAGAAAGTAATACTTACGTCCATGTCCATTTGCTTGCGGTAAATGTCACCCATAACGCGAACACTTCTCGTGTAAGTGGCTTGATCCCCAGATATAAGCGATAGCTTTGTGGCCTCCTAAAAGGGAAAAACGGTCAACGGTGTGGAACTCGAGATGAGTAGATGGTCCGACTTGACTCTACCTTACAGTAATCTTGTGCATCTCCGAGTTCGCCCTGCTTTCGCAGAGATACAGCCATTCGCAACAACGCGGCTCTATGGTGGCATGAGTTGAGGTCACCCAGTTGTAGGGAACGAGACAGGTCGTAGGCCTTGGAAGCATACGTTGCGCTCTTGTCGTTGTCTTGAAGCCGTCCAAAAAGCTCAGACAGCGCAACATACACTTGTAGCTCTAGTGATGGATCTCCAATAGCGGTAGCGATCTTGTAAGCCCCCTGTAAGCCTTCCAGTGCCCTAGAGAATCCTCCCATTTCCAGATATACTCGTGCCACAGTCAAGTGGACTAGCCCACTTCGACACTTCGTGCCGCACTCATTGTAAAGTGAGTGCCGAGCATAACTTAGGGATCTCTCCAAGCCCCCCAAACAAGCGTGTGCTCTGCTGAGGTTAAGGTACGTCTCAGCCCGCATATTTGGCGAATCCAGTTCCTCTGAAATTCTGAAGGTAGTTTACAAATTCGTGTATATGTTAATTTTTTGTGATATAAAAACTGTATATAAAGGACAAATAGAAGACTTTTGGGAAACATTCATCCAGATAGCTATAAAACTGAGAGACAAGTTGGCGTAGAAGCGGAAAGACGAATGATCCAACCGATGACACTGCTAATCACCAAAAGTGTATGATAATGCAAGTAAATTTACAAAATAAATACATATTTCGGTGTGCTAAATCCGAATCTTGCAACGAAAACGTTTCATTACGTCAATGATTCGATTAATTCTTAAAACTTTATAACACACTGAATACAACAACAATCAAAAGAAAAAGAGTATTCACTACTGTTTTACATTAAGTTCAACCAAATAATTGCAGTTAAATAGAAATAAACCAGTGATATAAGTAAACGTTAGTTTATACCAGAAAAACTTTAAAGTTACCCTTATTACAGTAATAATAGGACTGCCTTATTCCATCCTAATACTTTTGTTTTGGCGGAGGTCTTCGCGTACAAATCACTCTCTCGTTCCTCATAGTTACAATAATGATTTATAGATAGACTTATGGAAGTGATAGTTTCAGTTAATGACTTGACTGTGGCACCCAATTTATATTTGAATTCTCCACACTAGCATTTAAAAATGTTTATTTAAATTCTTGTTTTGAGGAAAATGAAACCTCTTAAGCTGCGGCATTCTATCCGTTCTATAGAAACCGAGCAAGCTTGAGACTCTTGTAACTGTACAATAAATGCACTTTAATGATGAGTTCTAACGTTCAGATAACAATAAATGCACTTAAAGCTTTTTTAAGCCAATACTATCTGTTCATATAAGTATATGAGCTGATCATAGCTTGAGTCACCCAAAATATATATACACATAGCATGTAAAATAACCTCCTGCGAGCGGTCAAAGAATGTCTTTGACTATAAGTAATATCAGGGTAATTGTGCTCTCCCTAAGATTTTTTTTACCAAGTTAGGGATAAACAAGCCACTCCGTGGGATATTAGAAACAAGATAATAATCCCGATTATAGGATAATTTACGATCAGTTACCTAAACCATGCAAAGGAACAGTTGTTGGCACTTGTATTCTGTAAGTGCAGGCCACTTGAGCCTCCAAATGTTAGCACTACTTGCAAGATCCATTTGCTTATATAGTTGATACATATACTTTTAGTTTTAAATTCGGCATGCCGAAGCTAGCTACAACTTACCCAAGCTGCTGATGACCAAATTCGATAGCCTCGCGAAATTTTCCCCAGTCCATGTGAGCCTGATACAAGTATCCCAGAAGCTGGAAGCAGTCTTCGCGTTGGCAGGTCCCTTTAAGCGCACTACGCCATGTACGTACGGCCTCCGTTTGATTGTTTTGCTCATACAGACGTCGTCCTCGCTCGATCTAAAGAGCGTTTTGTATCAGACAGCCAATTAACATGTCCGTATTGATAAGGCACTTACCTTTCGTTTTGCTATATACTGCTTCAGGCTTTGTTGACACGACAAAAAGCAACCAATTACAGAGCCCGACCTTAACAACCCCTGGCTGGCCCAGAGGGATCGGGATCGGACGTCTGGGCTGGACCCATATCCCGCCAGTCGGGAAAAGCTTTCATCTAATTGACATAAATCTGCAAGACGTTAACTATATTAAAGTATGGAGACAGATACTTTTGCTCTGGTTGACATAATAAGGGTATGGGACTGGCACTTAGTTAATTGATTTGTGTTTGATTTTTTTTATAGAAGAGTAATCCGAAATAGTCAACAAGAAAAGTGCAGAAGTTGTTAATTTTATTTTTAAATAACGCAGTGGATACGAACTAAAGCAGGGACCGTTATCGTTATAAGTTTTATTTTAAAAATCACAGTTTTCAGTTTTATTTTTTTTTTCAAGAATAATAATTGCTTTTGAGCAAAAAAATAAAAATCAAAAAATTATCATTACTTTTAATAAGAAAAATAAAATAAAAAAACTTTGATTTTTTTTTATTATTGAGCACAATGTAATTTAAGGCGTAAATGTGCTTTTAATCATTTTACAAAATTAAGCATACACAAGTATTAAGGAAAAAGTCTGTTCGACGAAGAGGTAGTATAATTTTTTTTTTGGCATCGAATCCGTCTCGATAACGTTGCCATAATTTCTGTAAATTGCTGAAGTCGCGGTTATTCCGACATTAACGACTTTTGAAAACAAAGTTTTTATATTTTTGAACCACTCTTTCTCAAGTAATCTTACATCGGATACAGTTATTAAAACCTCTCTTTAAATTAAAATACTAAAAAGCAGGTGCTTAACGAAGTAAAGACAATAATTATAATTTATAATTGGTAAAACGTTTAAAAGTTGTTTTCTTTCACTATAAACTATGTTGGAGGGTGCCAAAGAAATCTCTGAGGTTTTGATATATTTTATACGGAGTGTGGAATTGTGATGGATTTTGTGTTTTTTTGCTTAACAGCAAACTAGATACCTCCATAAGTGTTTTCGGTACACCGAAATCTATTATAAATGTTTTATTCTATTCTTGTGAAATAAATAATCGCAATATGTTATAGCACGCAGCTAATAGTATGTTTATTTATTTAACAAGAAAGTGCATAAGTTTTTATTGCTAACCGTTTGAGTTTTCCAACAGGTAACGTGATCCATCAGGTGATGTTAGTAAATGTGTTGCAGACAGATTCTGGCTAGGTGGGATGCTAAAAGTGAACATCAATTGTATATACATATGTGTACATTCATGTAAAGATATCTAAGTTTTAATACCTAAGGAGATCCTTAGAATCAATGCTCTCCCATGACATGACAAGCTCCTTTGTTTTTAATATATTGGGATCGCACTGAAAAAAATAAAACATAAATCACAATATTATGCCAAAAGTTAGAAATTTTGCACACATTTTGGCTGTTTTTCTTTTGTTTTCTTAAGGATCTATAAGATTTTTCAACTAAATCAACATTAAGCCCAGCGGTGCCTCAATATCCTGATTTTGAAAAACAGTTCTGAATAACCACAGATGCAAGTTAAATATCAAGTTAATAGCATGTATTAAGTCAAGAACAAAACTGAAAGCAATTACCCATCTCGTACGCCTCAAAAACTTGTTCACAAGGTGAGAGCAATAAATCTTTAAACATTAAAGAAAGTTGAAAAGGTATAATTTTAACACCGCCACTTTTGAATTTCGTCACCGCCATTGCACCCTAAAGCTACTTATAGTTCTTACTGAAAAAGAACTATATATTTATATACGTGCATTTCAATATTATGAACAGAATTATAACAAATGTATTCATTGTATCTGGAAGAGGTTTCCGACAGACCCACCACTAATAAGGCGAAGCTTAGTTGGCAATCAGCGTTCCTTACCAGTACATAACTCACTTGGCCCAGGCCTTTCGCACTTTGCACTAACAAAATTGGCGCCCATCGAAGGGTATTTAAATTTAACTTGATTAGTGATTAAAATTTTTTGGTCAGCCCTTACAATTACGTATAGCTTGTTGGAGACTTTTCTGCTTAAAAACTGTTCCCATTTGTTTACATTACTTGTCGTTGCTTTGTACCATTTGACTGAAATATTTATTATTGCTGTTTTTTCCACTTTAATATTGTTTCAATCGATTCGTATTGTACAAATCAAGACAAAAATCAGCTGTTTCTATACTGCAAGATATATATTTTTATTTTCATTTTCTGATTTGGGAAACGGTTTAGATAAAGTGTTTTTTTTTTCAGTTAATTATGGAACATTTTTTTTATATACATTAATAAAAAAACGGAACTTTATTGCTTAACATCTTTGCAAGAATTAACTTTACGCACTGAACAATAATTATCCTACCACACTGACCTTCCTTGCTTACATATTTAACTTCTTTAGTTAGGTCCTCGATTGTGTTAATAATGTACTAAGGACCAGTAAACTGACAATTTGACGTCATTCCTTGAACCTTGAGCCAGCTTTAAAATATTTTTTACGCAAAAGTTATATGAGTGACCTTGCATGAATGCTTGATTCCACCACTCTCAAAGAAATTTTTTTAACACATGGAAATCCGACCTAATATTATCACATAAATATTATTTATGTACATACGTATAGAACTTTTGATGCGACGAATCGTTAACACATTGCGCCAACAAATTTCTACTAGCTTGACAGCTAATTACATATTTGTAGAACCCGTAGGAATAAGCACCAAAAATATCTGCGTTGTCTTTGGGCGTCCGACAATGTACTAGTCCTGGTATGTCCTTAAAGCATCTCGTTCTTGGTCTGATTGGTGGTGGGTTTTCATCCACTGCGGGAGGCTGCGCGTAGAGACTCGCGAAAATCATTTTTGCTCAAACCTGTTCAGTGGAACCAGTGTGAGTCCGAATTGCGGACTCTTTTTTTCAAAATTGTAGGTCTTGGGCGGGCAGATAAAGAGGCATGGCTTTTAAACCGAAAATCGTTTTATGCTGTTAACTGAAACCTATTTTACTGGATACCTAATAATACAGATCACTTAAGACAGAAACTTGTTTAATAGGATACTAAATCGCACTTTTGCTTTAAAGGGTGAACATTAACAAGTTTTGAAATGTTGGGTTTTAGAAGCAACAGTATTTAACTTAAATTTATTATTATTTTAACATTCTAATATATGTATTCTAGCGTTACAAGATTTAGAAACTTATGAATTATTACGCTAGACCCTACATGTTTATAATAAAGACAATTTAAAACAGACAATATTTCTTTAATCTCTTCACAGTAGTTTTCAAAATGCAAATTTGAGTTGTTTTCCGTTTGTCCATAAGTCGAGCTGATTGACAGTAAGATCGTAAAGCCTAGTACTCAGCGTAAAAAGTTAATTCTTTCTAGTGTGACCAAAGTTTTGGTCTACAGTCTTATAGCCTGATTAAATGTGCCTGATGCCATTGGCGCATTAGAATTTAGCTAATGCTACTCCGATATGTGAGTGACATGAACAGCTGATCTGGGCTTGTTTACTTTTCAATTTTCGCAAATAAAAACGAAATGAATTAAAAACATGAATTTGAGCGAGTGTACGGACATCTTTAATGCCCAACAGGACATCCATAATGCGACCGAGGCATTTGCCCACTTGGACGGCAAGGAAGGGGGGCTGATAATGTTATTTGACGGGTTTGCAATGGAGACCACCACAGTTTCTAAAAAGGGCACGGATCCCCGTACATATTTGTGGGAGTTATTTCATGCCAGAGATCCAGCAGTAATGCATTGTGGTACTGCGAGCAGAATTTGCGGCGTGCGCTCTTGTTTTCAGTCATTTTTATACAAAATGGATTTTATATTCGAAAGAAATTGCGCCAATATTGCATTAGCCTAATGGGATTCCCTGTGTAAATAAATGCGCATTAGGCTTAATGCGTATTAATGCGTCAATGGAATCCGTCTATAAAACTTAAAACTAGAGCGCTTGAAGCGCTGAGCGTTTGTCGAACTGCAAAGCCAACACTAAAAGCTAAAAGCGGGGTGCACCCCACCCCCCGATAACAGTTCATTCGTTGTCTCTCAGTGCAGCGAACGAGCAGCGGACGAGCAGCGGCCGAGCAGCGGGAGAGGGCAGCAGAGAACTTAAAAAAACTATAATTTCTAAAATAATAGCTAGACTTGAAAATTGAAAATTTGTTTGTTAACCGAATGGTATGACCGAAACACAAATCTACGGTCTTACATGTCTGAGAGTAACGATTTCTGGGTTTTAGAGAGAGCGGGGCTCCGTTTCCAAATAAACTTGGGCTGCGTAGGAGTTACTAGAATCTGCATGCCATAGTTTCCGGTCGAATCGACTTTCATTCAGGCGGACATGGCTATTGATTCTGATCAAGAATATACATACATATATACCTTATAGGGTCGGAAACGCTTCCTTCTACTTGTTACATACTTTTCAAGGAAACAATCCAGTGGTGGCATTTGAACTTACCCAGATCACATTTCTGGCCAAGCGTCAATACCGCTAGGCTCCAGAGTTGGCAGCTCGGCCAATAATGAGCTGTAAAAGTAACATTCATCAGAATTCACGGCCAGTGACGGCGATTATATATTAGTGACGGGTTTTTCCAAAAATGTGCACAGCGTTGGTGCGTCACAACGGGAACTGTTTCCGATAATACTTGTACATTCAATTTGGACTCCATCTCAAAATAAATTGAATTGTTTAATTTAAAATTAAATGTAAATTCAAAATTCTTTTATTTTTATTAATACATTTTATCATCTGCATGTCACATCTCCGTTATTACTTGCTGCTTGGCTATCTGTTATGCTCATACATAGTTTTTGTCGTACGCACTTGCTTATGTTACTCCTTAAACAGTATAAGTCGATATAAATATGCTGAGCTACTATTAAAAACTACATTATACTCTTCTCTCCGGTAACATACAAATACAAATGCTTACTAGTGTAATAATTTGCTGAGTTCAATCATGTCAAATCATATAAATGATCGATCGGCCTTGTGTTTTGCAATTTAAAGGTTTCCTATCGTTATGTTTACAGTTATTTTGTGCATCGTCGATGTATTCTAAGAAACAAAACAAGAATTTAGATGTAATGTTTTTTGTAAACAGAGTATAGCGGCGTCCACCTATATCCAATAGGATTCAATTCAAATTTTTGTTATAATTACATTCTTTTAGGTAAATTTAATTAGAGTCAAACAAAGACTCTTTCCGTTAGGTTCACATAATTACTATTAAATAATAAAACAATCAATAATGTACCAGACAATTTTTGCTCCAGCACCGTTTACAAAAAACTTTAGCAGAGTGCACTTAAACAAAAGGTTTTAAATAAAACGATCTGAGAATGTTTGCAAAATGCTTTCATGATTTCGATTTTTGTGTGAAAAATGAAACATTGTCCAGGACGGGAATAAAGGTAGGTGAATTGGTTCGAACTTCGTAAACATCTCTACTATGTTCACTATCGCAGACAACGCGGCCGAATGCTAGTTAAAAATAGGTTATTTTTGTGAGTCAATAAAAGTCAAAGTTGCTCGCATATAAAACTGTATGTATGTAATGTGTGCTGTATGAATATGTGTTATCCTAACGATTCTTTATATTATTTTGACTCTTGTCTTATTATGTAGTTAGTTACGGTTCTATTGTATGATTCTATGTATGTTTGTTTGTATGCAGTATGTAATGTTGGTTGTAAGTATGATATTAAGTATTTGATTAAGTAACAGTACGGTCCGCATTCGTGTTTTCATGTCAAGCTAAAAATGGCTTGTAATGTTACAAAATTTCAAACATTTTGTAGCCCTATAAGCCATTATTAGCTCAACAGCAATGGTTGGATACAGGCCTAAGTAGAGCAATGCATATTTAAGGTGTTCGTGTTCACTCATAGAATGGGACTGAATCTAGAGATTTCGGTTGATACCGTTGGATCGTAATAAATTCGGTTTAGTGTTCAGGTTTGCTGTGGCAGTATACGAATACAATTCGCGTAGAGTTCGAATAATCAAAAAATGTTATGAATTCAAGTTTTAAGGCTGTATTGCAGTAGATTAGTAGCACAGATTTATGGAAAATGATACAAAACACGAAAAACATGAAGAAGCTTACACTAAATGCACAATAAACGTGTTGTGTTTGAATTAATTCGATGCAAAATTAAGATTTTAAGTTACATTCCAACGATGAAATATGGGATGCAGTCTGTTTACTGTCTGTCTTTAATTAATATAATAATTTGTAAATAGTTAACTCGCTGCGGCAAATTTCGTAATACCTACAGTTTCAACACATGTTTGTCGGACTAAATTATAGACACGCTTATGTAATCACGCTCTAATGCATTGAATTATTCACTATATATAGACTATGAATACAAATTGTAACCTTTTTATTTTCACACGAAGGTAGCACAAGATGCCTCAATATAATTCTTTTTTATATTTGACCTTCTTTTTACCATCCCCATTTTTATTAATTTTTAATTTAAGTTAAGTTATATTAAATTTACAGAGTTTATAACGTTTCACCTAAACATTTCTTGTATATATGTAAGTATGTGTATGATGTATGTATATACATATATATTTTATTTAATGTTAAGAATCACTTCTCTATACTGCTTGGTTCATTTACAAAATAAAATTGTATTATTTCGAAGGGAAAATTAAATAAAAAACAAAACAAAAAGGAAAAGAACATAAAACTTATAGTTGAGTTCTTTGAATTTCACCTTTACCATATTCAAAATACCTACCACGATTTTAAATATACATCAATGCATACCAAACACACATACATAAGTTTCACTTGATCTTATGCGATTACATTTACATATGTTTGCGTAGTCATCCTCAATCTGCAGCATACTGTATTTAAATGACTTATATTTAATTTTCTTCGTGCTTTCTTAATAAGCGCTTGTTTTTAATTTCAGTCGAAATACCCTTCGTACAGGATTCAATAAGATTAAGTATGTGTATGTGGGTTCTCACACATTTTTGGGACTTTAGATTTCCAGTGATACGGCAATTTCTAATCCACTTTAGCCATTCCGAAGGCATGCGAATCTCTTTGCTTTAGTACATTTTTACTAATTATTTGGACATTACATTACATTCAGTATGTGCCTAGATAATACAAGAGAATGTCGGAATGATAATTTAACTGGCAGTCACTTAGTCAGCTAGAGCTCTAGCTGCAAAGATCTGATAATCGCTACATTGCCCTATTATTTCTGCGAATGTATTTTGCGCACACACGCCAAGTAGTGATTTCAAAAAACCAAAAGGACACAATTATAGGGAGGACAGCAGACATAGTGGCTAGGCACTTGATGGTGGTATATGCAAATGCATTTAGCTAAACTGCTAGCGCTTTGTATACCTGACCCTTTGTCTGCATTCTGCCGTCCTCCTCTGCTTAAGCGGTAACAGTTATATCTAGAGCACTATAGCTAACTGTTAATGTACTTGATATATTTAATTTGTTTACTTATTAATTCTATTTCACCTTTCTCCTTTCTATCTGATCTATTATATTAATTTTGAGTCAAAGTAACTCGATCAATTGCAATTACATTTCCAAATCAATATCAGTAAGCATATCATGTGATTCCAACCTTTCCATTCCACTCCCTTTTATCACTATTCATATTAACATAGTTGGAGAAGAGCGACAAAAGATGTTGAGTGATATTGGTATTCTTAAAATATAAATGCTGAACAAGAAAACTCAAAATTCTTTGTTCACTACAAATTCACCGATCATATCCGATGGTGGCGGCTGTGGGGCCAAACAAGTCCACGCTCATAGTCGGACTGAGAACTACCATTCCAGGTCTATACGGCTGCAACGCGCCTTGCAGCGCATTTTCAACTAGATGGTGAATCACGAGGATTGCGGCAATGCTTAGTACCAAAGATGGGTTGATCCAATACGCAGACAAACAGCAAGATTCAATTGATGTCACTGAGAAAAACGACATGAGCCAGATCCACAAAGCGAAAAAGTGCTTGTCTGCAGGCGCTGCGCCACTATTGTAAGTTAGTTCTTCGTTCTTTACAACCTCGTTGGGATGTTTGTTGTAATGGTGGTGGTCATCTGAAAGTAATTTTTTGTACAATTATTCGAACAGTTAAAGTAAAGATAAAACATTTAAGATCCAAGAATTATTATAAAATCATTTAGTTCACACTTCACTTTTGAGAAAAAATAATAAAGTACTATCGATCTTATATAATATGCTTTAATAACATCGCCTTCAATAAAATCGGCAAAACTTAAAAAACACAACAATGTTAGTTTATCCAATATTAAAAGGGACTAATTTTATAATTCTTAGATACTTTTGCGAGGGAAACCACTTGTGTTTCGGAAAATTAGCAACACCGAAAAAAATTTGGTAGCTTATTACATTAAGGCAAGAAAATCAATTCGACCAAAAATGGAATTTCAAGGGAGGTTTTTGTTGGATTGTTTTTCACAACTTTTGACGTAAATTACTTAACAAAAATGAGTCAATAAACTGAGTTTTTCTATGGCGATACAGCAAAATCGAGGGTTTAGCAAATTTGCCGACGAATCCCACTAGGAGGGTCGATCCAACCCTGTCCGACTGTCCGTCCGTCCGTCCGATTCTAAGCAAACTAGTCTCTCAGTTTTAGAGCTATCTGCATGAAACTTTCCCAAAGTTGTCTTCCTGTTGCAGGTAGAAAATAAGTCGGAATCGGAAAAACAAATGAAAAAAATTATAACTGCTGCTTTTTAATTTTTTTTGGGTTTCTTCGAGACGTTGTAATGGTTAGGTATTTCAGAATTACGGTATAAGTTTCATGTTAATCGTACGACTATATCGTATAGCTCCCATGAGAACAATCGGAATATTAAAAAAAATAAATTTTAAAAATGTAACTTCTCTATTTTTGTATTTTTTTAAATTATTTTGGAAACAGTAATAATTTGATAGTCTAGATTTGCGATTTTAATTTAACTTAAATCGGAAAACGATATCATGAGCAGTCGAAGCATAGAGTTGACTTGGCCTGACTTGGCTCCCAATGATTTCTTCTTGTTCCCAAACAACAAAAGTAAGCTGCCAGAGAACAGTGTAAAACCACTAAGAACAGTGTAAAGCCGCTGTCGGCGCACACACATTGACAAATTTCCCCATACAAATTAATCACACAATTTAAGTGCGAGCAATTAATAGTATGTGCGTCCTCCGCTGTTCTTCATGAACGAACTCCGTTTTAACGTACGCAAAGACGTCTAAACAAACAAGAAGAAAAAAAGCAAACTTCGGCAAGCCAAAGTTTATGTACCCTTACAGCTATTGCAAAAATTAAATATTCTTGAAAACATTAAAATTATCATTTACTTGCGTATATGTATATAAAAACATTGAACATATGATGATTTGCAACCGAATTATTCGATAGTTCCTATGGCATCTATATGATATCGTTTTCCGATTTTAATAAAAATTAAAAGCGTAATTCTAAACTGTCAAATTATAAATAAGTCAAAAAGAATTTATATTATTTATTTATTTTTTATATATTTCTATTGTTTCCATGGGAGCTATATGATATATATAATTTTGATGAAATTTAAACCGTAATTCTGAACTATTTAACCATTACTATATGTCGTAGAACTAAAAAATATTAAAAAACAGCAGTTATAATTTTTTTTATTTATTTTTGCGATTGTTCCTATGGGAGCTATATGCTATAGTCGTCCGATCTGGCTGGTTCCGACTTATGTACTACCTGCAATAGAAAGACAACTTTTGGGAAACTTTCATGCAGGTAGCTTTAATACTGAGAGACTAGTTTGCGTAGAAACGGACGGACAGACGGACATGGCTAGATCGACTCGCCTAGTGATGCTGATCAAGAATATATATACTTTATAGGGTCGGAAATATCTCCTTCACTGCGTTACCCTCTGCAAGGGTATAAAAATGATTGAAAATAACTAATGAAATTATAACTCGATTTTGAATATTTCTGTGTCTACCGATAGATGACCCAACATCATGTATAAGAGTGACATGACAGACTTATGCGATTTGTGGGCTTTAGAGTGGACGGGGCCACTTTCTTGCTGCGCAAGAATAACTAGAATCTGCATGTTAAAATCGAAATCTCCGGCGTTTACGGTTTTTGAGATCTCGACGTCCATATAGGCGGTCAAACGAGCAGACAGGCGGACTCTGCTAGATCAAGAATATATATACTTCACTCTGTAACTACGAGTAACGGGTTTAGATATGGTTACACTTGTTCTGAACGCAAAAACCATGCCTTCTATCTTTTGCTAAAACGCTTTCTCTCTCTCCCACTAAATTGTGTGTAAGGATATTGTGATATTGATTTGTATAGCCTACACAACGAGATCAAAGTAAAGTACGCTCCAAAAAATGTTCTACAATGATTGTATTGTGTATTAGGTTACACGCCAGTCGTTGAAAAAATGGAAAGGGTGTGTCGCACCACAGAGCATAATTTTTTTCTTTCAGTTTAAAGATAAAGAATTGGTTGTTAAAAGCGGTGTGTCGGTGATGAAACATGGCTTCCTTACAACAACCCGAAGCGAAAGAAATCATTTGTGAAGCCCGGGCAACCAGCCAAACGAACTAACTGCAAGGCCGAATGTTAATATTGCTAAGATAGTACTTTGTAACGAATGGTACTATTGGCTCGATTCGTTCTTGGTCTTTAAGTGCAGTTCTTTTAGCACGGAATACATATGCTACCAGAAATGTTTTATTGAAATAATAAAAAATGTAAAAAGTGATAAGGCAAAACAAATTTTGGGCTTCATATAGTTTACGGCACACAACAACCCGCCTATGTTGACAGGAAGATTAGATTTATAGTATCATCTTCAAATGAAGCATTTTAAAGTGTCGTTCAAATGGCCTCTTCTTCTAAGTTTTTTCTCGTAATAGATTTACTAGATCTACCAACATTGCTTAACATATTTGCCGATTAAGATACGATATGCTTCTACACAGATGGCTCCAAACTAGATGTCCAAGTTGGTAAGGAAGAATAATTAAGCCAACTAAATGTTAAATCAAAGAAAAAGAAAACTGTTGCAGATATAATACGTTCTATAAAAATATTGCTATTGTTTTGCAACTTTTATATTAATTTTTTCGATTGATCCAATGGCAGCTATACAAAATCATTTATAAATTTAGGGAAATCATTATATCACTGGGAATAACAACGATGTTATAATTTGTTTTCACTTTTCTCCCGATTGTTGAAATTCTAAGGGACGGACATGGCTAGATCGACTTTCCTAGTAATGTCGGTTAAGAATTCATATAGTTCAAAAGATCGGAAATGACTCATTTACTTCATAGCAAAGTCTACACTTCATACCGAGTTCTGAAGAAACTGTACGAACGGGGACGGAATTAAAATAGTCGAGCAGCTACAATACTCTTCTCAAAAGGATAATCAATTTGTAAAATTGATCACTACTAAGACATCCATCAAAGAATTGACAACTGGGGTCAGAATTAAGGAAAATAAAATCATTACGGTTTGTCCTACTTACCATTTCCGTTGGTATTGCCGTTGATATTACCCTTGTGAGGTGGATAGCTGTGTTGCGTCGGCACATTGTTTATCCGGATCCCAGTTTGGATGTGGTGGTGTCCGGGGTAAGCTACGTTTATGCCACCTCGTCCGGGTTGCAGCATATTAATGTTGCCGTGACCATGGCCAGGAGTTAATATTATTCCACCACCAGCAACCATTCCAGGTCCAACGGCGTTGTTTCCCACATTGTTGCCAATTATATTTGGTTGAATCGGTATCCGGTTGAACTGGTCGATGTTTGAATTAATAGTAGTTGCTATGCCGTTTACATTGCTATTGCCGTGGACCGGATTTATCGGAACCCCTGCGGACTGTGGACCTCCTGGTATCAGACCCCCACTTATGCCAATATTAGTTCCAATGGCGATGGTGTTGCCTTGTCCGTGGACGTGACTGTCATCGTTGGCTGCTATATTAACACTGATGGCTCCCCCAGGGTCTGCGCCTGAGATGGATTTGTTTATCGGCGTTGTTTTGTTCTTTTCCTCGGCGGCACAACACACTTTGAAGACAACTTTCATGTTGTTTGTAGAGCATCGACCCCCTATTCGCCGATATAGATCATCCTTGGATGAAGTCGCTATAGTAAAGTAGAAAAACAAGACTCAATTTTACACGATCTTCAAACGGCAGGTATGCAAACGAACTCACAAATGAAGTAATAATCATTTCCAGGTAGGAACTCCAGACCACCTGGCTGCGGTGTAAATGGCCGGAAAGTTATTGTAAAAAACATTAATTTCTGAGGTTTATCACATATAGCTATTACTCGCGGATCTGCATTTGTTATGCGACATGTTTCGTACTCCACTTTAGACACATTGTAAATTATATATTTCTCAGTTTCGTTTTCAAAAGTCCCTGGCTCATATACTGGGCATATTATATGCACCTGATCGAACTCGAAAGCAAGATTGCCTTTATTGACATCGATTATATGGTCGGTGTTATCAATCCGAAATCTGTGGATAAAAGAAGAACAAATATTTTATGAAATAATTAAACATGGAAGACAGATCACCATTAAAGTTAAATTTGACTATATAATTAAATTGGAAATTCAGTTGGTTGCTAATCAGGATTGAATGTAAACAACAATATTTTTTAAAAACGTATTTTGCTTTTGATTGTTACTAATAATATCTCTAGCATGCTCTACCCACAGAGTCAGATGTCCTCAACTCAGACCCCAAAATTGTAACCGTTTCTCGTATCTTCACATAGACTATTCCAGTCCCATCTGCAAACTTAAATGTAATAAGTGGTTTGTGTGCAAATTGTGCTTGGAAAATTCCTTGGGAATAGATATAAACTCGCTAAAAATCGTTTATTCTAATTAAAGTAAAATAAAGAAAAACAATTAAAATTTAAAGCCACAAGCTTTATTAGACTCCACTTTTACAATGATAAATTTTGCTGCCCTGAAAATCAAGCAACTCAACTAATTTAATAATTAATTAATTAATAGTTGAAAATGAACTGCTAACGCACATATAAAAGCTATGTACTAAACTAAGTGTAATTTAAATTAAATGACGTAAATATAACATGATTCGAAAAAAGTATAATTGTTTGATAAGAAGCAATCAAAAGAATTCTCTGAAGATAATTAGATAATTTGAGCAAAGTTGGATCTAAAAATTGGCAAGTGAATAGGGAAGTGAATAGGGAAGTCTTGAGGGAACAGCGACGTCAATATAGATGACGATGGTTTTCAGACTTTAATTCAATTAATTTAAGCCCTAATGAGTCCCAATTCAGCCGTCGAAGAGCAAATAATAAAAAATTGCTCTTGGACTAATTCGATTCATTTTTGTTGATCAATATATTGGGGGCTCCATACACCATACCATACCACCATACACCAGTAGTCCAAAATAGGGCGAAACATGGAAATCTACAGCGTTTTTGTTGTATTCGGGTCGTCAAACTCCTTGGCCTAACATTTTATGAGGACTACAACACCCTTAGCTTTACCAATGGTGACACATATATAGACTTGACAGATATAGGCATGACAGATATAGACTTGAAACATAACTTGCTACTAAAACGGACACCAAGATCAGTTACTTGCGTAATACCTTCTAAAGTAGTTTTCTATTTTTTAATTTTTTTTTAAATATTTTGGACATAGTAATAGTTTAATTAAGAATTACACTTTTAGTTTTTTTTAGTTTAGAAAATTCTGTCTGTCTTAGGAACGATCGAGTAATTGAAAAGCATCACAGCTTCAATGTATTTACGCGCGTAAAACAAAATGTAGAATTTTTAATATTTGCTATTGCTGCAAGGCTATATAAACTTCGGCTTGCCAAAGTTTGTCTCCTTTCTTGCTTTATTTTACCTTTGATGAGTGTCATTGCTAAATGTTTTAGTTTCAATTTGAATACCTCCTTTAAAAGAACAGAGGTTTTTTAAGAGGGTATCAGAGGTTTGCATCGCAGTGAAGGAGACATTTCCGACCCTATAAGTTATATTTATTATTGGCCACAATCACTGGAGAGTCGATCTTAACACGTCTGTCCGTCCGTTTCTACGCAAACTAGTCTCTCAGTTCTAAAGCTATCGAAATTGTCTTCTGTTGCAGGTATTATATATGTTGTAGTAGCTCCCATAGGAAGAGTCGGAAAATAATTTTTAAAAATGTAACTTTCTAAGTTCTTTAAGGCAATTATGGTTAAACGTTTCAGAATTACGATTTTTATTTTGCTTAAATTCGGGTACTATATTAAATAGCTCCCATTGAAACGATCATAAAAATAAAACAACAAATGAACAAAACATAATCACTTCGCTGTTTTAAATATAGTACAACACAAAGTAATGGTTTGTTATCTCAGAATTAGGGTTTCAAATAAAATCAGACAGCTGAAATTAGAACGATCGGATAAATTGACGGAAACTTATCATAACTCAACTGTTGTTAAACATATGTATAGGCATACAAATCGGCTTGTCGAAGTTTGCTTCCTTTCTTATAAGTTGACTAGTTGACAACCTTTGAAACTGTCCACGATATATGGTCTCAATTATTAAGGAATTCATTTAAAATTCAGTTCCTTTTTTGTTTGTGTTCAACCAGGCACTGTTTTGTACTTAAACGTAATGCTATACTCACATGCTGTTCGATGTATTCCAATGCATGTAGAACGTTTTGGCGCAGCTGGACATGGTGGACAGCAGGACCGTTTCCATACAAATTAAAGTGAGCAAAGTAACTAAGGATGTGGCGCCGAATGTTGGGAACGGAATCATCATTTTGCACCTCACCGCTGCAGACGGCGGGGACGCAGACAACGAGCGGTTTCGGTTTCTAGTCCTGTTGCTGCGGTTTCGCTGGTTTCTTCCAGTGTTTTTTATATCAGTAAAGCGCAGCGACTTCTTGACTCCTATCCCCACAGAAGCTCCCTCACATGCTTCAACCGATTCCTCCAGGGCCGATGAGTGCTCCGCGGAAGGATCAGTTTCCTTTTCACTTGACGACTGACAAGGCGAAAGGCTGCAGACGGACGGGAGCTTGCTTTTGCTCTTGGACTTTCGATGCATTGCTGGTTGTTGGTTTTTCGCCGTGTTCAGTGACTTGCTGCGATCACTTGGCACACTCTCAATACCCGCTGGCACGCACAACTTGATGTTCAATGGACTTCCGGAGTAGAGCTGCACTCTGCGTTGCTCCTTGGGCTGAAACTGCGTGCTGCAATCGGAATTCGGGAGAGCTAATAGAAGAGGTGGCTGCGGGTCGGCAAGCTCTTGGCCAGAAGTTAGGCGTCTCTTACGACCCAGCATACTGCTGTTTTCAATCTGCGACTTTAACTGGGTCCAGGCAAAGCTAACACGAAGCTCCTTAAGCGTGTCTTGCATTCCGCCAGCAATTTGCCTTTTCGATGTTTAGTTCTCCAATAACGCTTGTCAAAAGGCCCGGTCTGTTTCAAGATAGCTGCGCCTTACGAATACGATTATTGGTTTACAGCAGTATTCGTGTCGGTACATACCAATGTGTGTCTTGCTCCATCTGTAAAAAACGAAACAATTATTCACTTGTCCATAGAACATTTTAAAAATAAACATAATACTAAATTTAAGTATATTGTACTATATTTAAGTATATTTAAGTATATTTGCGTATATTTAGGTATATTTAAGTATATTTAAATATATTTAGGTATATTTAAGTATATTTGACTATATTTAAGTATATTTAAGTACATTTAAGTATATTTAAGTATATATATACTTTATTATACTACTTTAAAAGTAAAAGGTGTTATTGTATTTGTTAAAACTGGTTTAAAAAGTCTTCGAAAGCGTTTCCGATCCTATAAATTATTTGTCTTCGGTACTATTTCTTTATGACTATCAATGACCTAATATTAAAATACATATATATTTGTTTGGTGAAAAATGAAAACTCGGAACTAAAAAAATAAATGCAATTATGTACAAAATTAATTTTTAGAATTTAGACTTTTTGTGGTCAAGATATTTTCGAAATTGTGTCCTAAACAACATAAACATAAACATAATAAACATAATAAAATTGCATGTTTTTATTTTCAGACCAATACAATGAGCTTTGTCAAAATCGGATTATTATATCCAATAGCTGTCATATATCTGCCTTAATGGGTTTAGGCTTCTTTGTAGTTTATTACATAGTTATTCCAAATCTTACCCATACTGAACAGCTAAATTTGGATATTTTTAAAGATGTATGGGTTCCTTTTTTATTATTTTGTTTAAAACGATGGTTTATACAATTTCGAACCCATCTCCTGAGGTGACAAAGTCCTATAGATGAATATATGTGTATACTCACCGATCCGGTATACGCAAAATAATGCAATAAGAACATACAGATTTGGATTGATCTACTCATTCATTTTGTGCACGAGTACAAGGCCTTTAGAATCTAGTTTTAGTGTTTAAATTCAAACAAGCTATTTTCATTAAAAAAAAATAGATTTTGATAAGAAAAAAAAAATATTTTTTAACTTTTTTTTTTTGCGATCCACAAAATACGTTATTTTATTTTCAGTTTTCCACATTTTTCGTCAAGCGATTTTCTTTTTAAGCCATTAACAATGAATTGAGCAATGTACTAACTAGTTTCGCTGTAAAACGTGTGGACTACAAATTCAAATTTAAATTCAATAAATTAATAACTTAGTATCTTCTTTCCACATTCCAAGTCGCACATACATACATCTGTACATATCCATATAGCGAGTAACTTTTTAAGCCGGTACATAATAAAATTTTCCTTGAGTTGTAACACAAACCTGACAAAAATGTATTTGATCGTTTGCTTGTTTTTCAGAACGACTTTGGTTCATTACACTATGTCTAGTAGAAAAGAGCTATCCCGAAAGTTTCAACAAAATAATTTTGACAGGCATTCGTCTGGGGATGCCGATCAAGAATATATACATAGGTATTCAGTATAGGGTAGGAAATGTCTTACTTTGAAACCTTTACAATTGAAACCTTTTCTAAGGATTTAAATGCCCTCTTTAAAACTATACACACACAGCGACTGTGTATCTGTGTGACGGGCAGACAAATGTTATGTTGTAATTCGCTAACATTTACATTTTATCATTTTTTTCCTTTTAACTGCTAAAACATCAGAATAGCCAGATATACATATACGGATGCATATGTATGTATACACCAAAAGAGAGACGATTTCTGTATACATACACAGTGACGACACAGTCACAGTCCCCAGTGGAGTCAACTCTATATGTGTACACAGGTTTCCTTGCTTTGGGGAAGCATTCTTATTTGCTACTTAAAAACAAGACCGTTTGAAGGAGTGCGTAACGGGATATTTATCGTGGTCAGACATACTCGTAGAAGGAAACACAAGCAAATATGAACACAATAGCACCTTGATTTTCCAAGTATATTTTAAAACAATTACATTTTTCACTTGGCGTTTAGAATAGGTCCCGAACAGGTTTGCGACTGAAGAGAGATACTCGAAAACAACGCATTTTAACGGTAATTTTTTATAATGGATTACATACAATAAATATATTTATAAATATTGTATTTCTAGAGCTATTATAAAAAAAACTTGTCAGTAGTGTGACCGCGTTCGGATTAAAAATAATTGGGCACGCGAAAGTCAACGTAAATATACTTATTAAAGACACAAAATACTATAATACACGCCTTTAAGTTTCAATGCAAAATCAGTCTAAGTCAAGACAAAAACCCAGTAGTGGAAAATGTATGTGTAAAGTAAGTTACATGTAGTTGTGGTGTAAAGTGTAACAAGCTGCCAAATTAAAGTTACTCAATTACTGAGGTAGCATTAAATTAATATTTTTTGTTTGGCTAACCTTCGCCTTTTAAGTACATTTAATTTAAGCAATACACCATCGCATTATAAAATAAAAAAAAGAAAGGAAACTTTGGCAAACCGAACCTTACATGACCTTGTGGCTGTTTCAAAAGTTAAATGTTCTAAAATGAAACAGTTTTTTGTACACAGGTTTTCCATGGTCAGCTAACACAAAAATAAAAACGATTATATTCTAACCAAGTATAAGTTAAATGTAATCTAAATTAGTATTTAAAATAACAACTAAAGAGATAACTTTCATTTAATTGCTCATGTTCATTTAAATTTGTCCACTTTGGCGACAATGCGTCTGGTCCGATATCGATAGGAAACGCACGTGAGTGTAACTACGCTATAAGTTTGCATTCCGCAATAAGGCACAGTGTGAATATCATATGAGATGCATAACAGTGCTGTTGTAAACAGCCTTTTACCAGGGACATTTTTATCGATTTGTTCTATCGACCTAAAGATTTAATCTGTCTCATGCATTGTACCAGCTTAGTGAAACGCTAATTAAAAACATAAAATAACAATTTGCGTGTCAGGATGGCGTTTGCCAATATAACGAGGCGCACGCTGGTTCCCGGGCTGTCACACTTGAAGTTGCGGCCGCAATTTCTGGCTGGAACAAGCGCAATAAAGTAAAAACTATCTGCTTACATAATGCGAATGTATGCTCATTTTTTGTTTTCAACTCTCGACTTTCAGTAAGCATGATACGCGCCGCGGAGCTGCAAAATGGTATCCCGACCCGGAATTCATGAAGCAGTTTAGCGGCCCAGTGATGTATCCCGACGAGGTTACATCGCTCTGGAAGGTGCCCCCATGGAACAGTTAGTTGGTAACGTAATCAGTTAGCCACTTGACCTAACGCTTCAATTTTCGTTCTGTACCAGGCAAGGTCACACCTGTCGAGAAATCCGTGCGCAACCTGACCCTGAACTTCGGCCCGCAACATCCTGCTGCTCACGGAGTCCTGCGTCTGGTGCTCGAATTGGATGGAGAGGTTAGAGCCCACAGGCGCATATCTTTTAGCCAGACCTTAATCCCGTCATCCGCTTTTGCAGACTGTGATGCGTGCCGATCCACACATTGGACTGCTCCATCGCGGCACCGAAAAACTCATCGAGTACAAGACGTACACGCAGGCTTTGCCCTACTTCGACCGGCTGGACTACGTCTCCATGATGTGCAATGAGCAGTGTTACTCGCTAGCTGTGGAGAAGCTCCTCAACATCGAGGTGCCGCTCCGAGCCAAATATATTCGAAGTAAGTAGACAGCGTCAGACTTCTGGAGTGGGCTGCGAAAGTGGAACCGAAACTCACTCTTAAAATAAGTGGTGAAACCTCAATGTTTAACTTCGCTTTGCCTTCGTCATGATTGATATCACCTTAACGTAGAAAAAACAAATTTACTACAAATTTGGGAGTGAATCCTTTGCGAGTTGCCTGATCCTACATGGACCTAAAACTTCCCACTTTAGTGTATTTACCACCGAAGCTGAAGCTTAGAAGGAACTTCACCCTTAAGTTCAGTTTTGCGTTCTTGGCAGCAAGCTGTATTTTAGAAGTTTTTGTAGTACACGATGTTGTCTCGGCTCAGAAAAAATTGGGAACTACAGCAATCTGTTACGGTTAACGTCACAGTTGGAACATTGGCTGTAATAAATGTTTAAAAACAGCTGATGTGGCATAGCTCCCATCCGGTTGCTTTCATGAACGCTATTATTCTTGTTAGGCTTGTAATAGCAAGTTCTGAGAGATATATAATGAAGGGATTGCCTAGGTGAATCAATCTTAGTCTGCATAGAGCCGGACAGGAAAAGAACAGGTGTTCCACCGTTTCCTTTTCCTCCTCGTCTCTGCCGTCTGCTGGCATGTGTACCTACTAGCCATTGCCTTGAGCATCTGTTTTCATGGAAATAGCAGTGCAGTAAATTTGGCCAATATCAAAATGCCGTAGTATCCTGTGGATAGATGAGACCAGACTGTCTTTTTGATGAAAAACGTTCTAGACAGTATGAATTTTAAGCCACTTCTATGGGAAGTTGTTCAAAAGGCATGGGCGCAGATTACCATTAAACTTTGCAGGACTTGGTCGACTCAATTCCACGTAGGTGCGAAGCAGTAATATCAAAAAAAGGGTACACAAAGTATTAGGCATTACACAAATATATTATTTAGTTTTAATTTAACCTTTATTGGACCTTTTTGCTGTTTTCCGCACTTCTACTTCACTGAACATCACCGTTTGACCAATCTTACCCAAATCTCTCACAGTAAACACTATGAAGGTCCAAAAATGTTCAGTACTTGGTTTGTATTGACGTATCGTAATCGTATGTCAGATTTCAAGTTTTTTTTGTTAAATGTGACAGATCGAAGAAGAAACAAATGTGAACAATTTTATATTGAGTCGATGTGAAAATTTTCTTATGACTCGTATTTTTGTATGCTTTGAATGAAAGCGGTTGAACAATTTTATGGAGCAAATGGATAATATTGTAATAATGCATCCCAGGCTTAGCTAGTCGTTTATAAAAAAATTGCATCCCATAATAGTCCTTAGACAAGGAATAATCAATGTAGAAAGTGATTGTCATCTTCACTGCAACTTCTATGAACACTGCTGTAAGCTGTGTCTTAGTAGTTTAGACTTTCTTTACGCGTCTATATTTGGGTAGGCTAGGCTAGATTCGCTAAACTCTTGCATTGGTTTTTTAGCTCGTCAGCTACTCGGCCTGCGATGTTCTGGTGTCCGGGGACCCATATCAGGTTAATGCTATACTGTAATGAAAAGCGAGAGGCTGTAGATGTAGATGTTGATCCATCTTCTTTGATAGTTGGTATTGTTGCATGTAGCACAAGTGATTCTCTGACGGCATATACTTCCGCTTGGAAGTCGCTGCAGTGGTCAGGAATCCCAAAAGATTCCTGATGTTGAGTTGATCAGAGTATATACATCCGCCAACGTCGTTCTCTTGCTTTGAGCAGTCTGTGTACATGCTGACTGCTTCTGTAGGCACAGGCTGACCGTGCTCGCAGTTTTCTCCACTTGGGAGCGGGATTTTAAACGGGGTGTGATCAAATTCAATTGGTTTGCATAGATCCGATTTGGTTGGGATTGATTTGTCGCACTGGAGAATTATGGCATGACCATATGTTCGGCGTTTCCATTGTCAAGTGTCTTTCAATCGAACCGCTGCTATTTTGGGCCAAATCCAGACTAGGATGGCTCAACATAGCGTTTAGCACGTTGTTTGGGGTACTGCGAAGAGCACCGCTTATGCATATTCCGTCCGTTGAACCTTGTTTAGGTTTGCTGTGATTGTCTGCTTGTTTAGCGCAGGCCACAAGATAGATACTCCGAAGAGCAGAATAGTCTTGACTATTGCTATGTATATCCAGTTTGGGGACTTGCCCAAAACAAGAGTTACAGCCAATGTTCCAACTGAGAAGTTATCTATAACAGATGCCAAAATTTAAATAAATCAGGCTACTACAGATCATAAAAAAAGTCAAAAGCTAACTTAGAAAAATGCATTTTAATCAAAGATCCAAAGGTATTTTTTGTGCAAAATTGAAGTCGAAATATTCAGGAATCATTTAAGCCAAGTTACGGTACTTTGACCGCGGTTTTCTCAAAATTGGTAGGTGATGGGATGTTTTAAGTTGCAAATTAGCAATCTACAGACAAAATCCTTTCAGAAGCACCATCTTTTAGTATTGGTAATCATAGGCTTAAAGTTTTTGAATTACGAATAGTTTAATAAATGAGTTAGGCTCACAAAGGCAGTAAACCTTTTCACTTTAGGAAATATTTATAAATCTTATTAAAATCATGAGCTTGAGAATACAACTTTTTGTCTTCTGTGCCGCAGCTTTGTTTGCCGAGATTACCCGGATTCTAAACCACATAATGGCTGTTGGTACACACGCTCTGGACGTTGGTGCCTTAACGCCTTTCTTTTGGCTGTTCGAGGAGCGCGAGAAAATGATGGAGTTCTACGAGCGAGTTTCTGGTGCCCGAATGCATGCTGCCTATATCCGACCTGGTGGCGTGTCATTGGTAACTCACTCGCCCACGTTTTTAAAAGGTATCTATTAACTGACGGTTTTTGTAGGACATGCCTCTTGGCCTGATGGACGATATATATGAGTTTGCATCGAAATTTGCCGAGCGCTTAGACGAAGTGGAGGATGTGTTGACCACGAATCGAATCTGGGTGCAGCGAACCGAAGACATTGGTATTGTGACGGCAGAAGAGGCCCTGAACTATGGGTTTAGCGGGGTCATGTTGCGTGGCTCCGGCATAAAGTGGGACCTCCGCAAGCAGCAGCCGTACGATGCCTACCACCTGGTGGACTTTGATGTTCCCATCGGCACCAAGGGAGACTGCTATGACCGATACCTTTGTCGCGTCGAGGAAATGCGCCAGTCCCTGCGAATAATTGATCAGTGCCTGAACCAAATGCCTGCTGGGGAAATCAAAACTGACGATGCCAAGGTCGCGCCACCGACGCGCTCCGAAATGAAGACTTCAATGGAGGCTCTGATTCACCATTTCAAGTTGTTTACCCAAGGCTATCAGGTTCCACCGGGGGCCACGTACACGGCAATAGAAGCTCCCAAAGGGGAGTTTGGGGTTTACCTCGTATCAGATGGATCAAGCCGTCCATACCGCTGTAAAATTAAGGCTCCTGGATTCGCCCACTTGGCAGCTTTGGAAAAAATCGGAAAGCAGCAC